GAGGTAGGGGTTGGTCGCGCGGTGTGCTAACCGTTGCGCCACCGCTCCCCACCGCGTTGCCCGCACTCACACAACGACGATAGACCTGTTGGGGGGCAAGTGCTGTTTGTGAACACAAAGACAAAGATCCCCCAGCACCGTTATAGCCTCTAGATACTTGTAGGGGCAAGTGCTGTTTGCGAGCACAAAGACAAAGATCCCCCAGCACCGTTATAGCCTCTAGATACTTGTAGGGGCAAGTGCTGTTTGCGAGCACAAAGACAAAGATCCCCCAGCACCGTTATAGCCTCTAGATACTTGTAGGGGCAAGTGCTGTTTGTGAACACACACAACACAAAGACAAAGATCCCCAGCACCGTTATAGCCTCTAGATACTATTGGGGCAAGTGCTGTTTGTGAGCACATACAACACAAAGACAAAGATCCCCCAGCACCGTTATAGCCTCTAGATACTATTGGGGCAAGTGCTGTTTGCGAGCACAAAGACAAAGATCCCCCAGCACCGCTATAGCCTCTAGATACTATAGGGGCAAGTGCTGTTTGTGAGCACACACAACACAAAGACAAAGATCCCCAGCACCGTTATAGCCTCAAGAGACTTGTAAGGGCAAGTGCTGTTTGCGAGCACAAAGACAAAGATCCCCCAGCACCGTTAAAGCCTCTAGATACTTGTAGGGGCAAGTGCTGTTTGCGAGCACAAAGACAAAGATCCCCCAGCACCGTTATAGCCTCTAGATACTATTGGGGCAAGTGCTGTTTGTGAACACACACAGCACAAAGACAAAGATCCCCCAGCACCGTTATAGCCTCTAGATACTATTGGGACAAGTGCTGTTTGCGAGCACAAAGACAAAGATCCCCCAGCACCGCTATAGCCTCTAGATACTATAGGGGCAAGTGCTGTTTGTGAGCACACACAACACAAAGACAAAGATCCCCCAGCACCGTTATAGCCTCTAGATACTATTGGGGCAAGTGCTGTTTGTGAACACACACAGCACAAAGACAAAGATCCCCCAGCACCGTTATAGCCTCTAGATACTATTGGGGCAAGTGCTGTTTGCGAGCACAAAGACAAAGATCCCCCAGCACCGCTATAGCCTCTAGATACTATAGGGGCAAGTGCTGTTTGTGAGCACACACAACACAAAGACAAAGATCCCCAGCACCGTTATAGCCTCAAGAGACTTGTAGGGGCAAGTGCTGTTTGCGAACACAAAGACAAAGATCCCCCAGCACCGTTAAAGCCTCTAGATACTTGTAGGGGCAAGTGCTGTTTGCGAGCACAAAGACAAAGATCCCCCAGCACCGTTATAGCCTCTAGATACTATAGGGGCAAGTGCTGTTTGTGAGCACACACAACACAAAGACAAAGATCCCCAGCACCGTTATAGCCTCTAGATACTATTGGGGCAAGTGCTGTTTGTGAGCACACACAACACAAAGACAAAGATCCCCCAGCACCGTTATAGCCTCAAGAGACTTGTAGGGGCAAGTGCTGTTTGCGTGCACACACAACACAAAGACAAAGATCCCCAGCACCGTTATAGCCTCTAGAGACTTGTAGGGGCAAGTGCTACACACAACAACAACAACAACCGCCATTCGCCACTAAGTGGCGGAGGCATCACCACGGTGCTTGTGCCAGGCTAGGTGCACGTTGAGGCCACGTGGAAGTGTCCGCTAGCAGGAGGTCACGGGGCAGACCCAGGTGCCACGGGTCGACTGACTGAGATGACTGGCTGATGCACCACCACCTGTGCCCCCTAACTGTGCCAACCTGCTGTGCTTTAGCCACCCGGCGCTCCGCTCGTTGTTGTGAGCGTCGCTCCTCCGCCCTCCGTTGTTGCTGGAGGCCGACTGCCTCCAACTGCCCAGCAGCATCCTTCACGAGCCTCCTCCTCCACAGAGGCCGATCTTGACACCGCTGGTACCGGTCATCGGCAAGGCACGCGCGCGTACACGAACACACAATGACAAAGATCCCCCGTGTAGCCTGTAACGGACTGTAGGGGCAAGTGCTGTTAGCGAGCAGCACCTGTGAAGAGGCCTGAACGGTACACGAGGGGGTGGGTGGCCAGCACCACGCCCGACCGCCTTTGTCTCCCCCAGTGGCGATGTTTACTACACACCGCACCGGGCACTCATTGAGGCTGAGTCGACCTAGGGGCGGCCCCGGACCGGTTCAGATAATCGTCACTGGTGTTGGCCGTGAGCGGGAATCGAACCCGGGTCGCCGGGTTCATAGCGCAGCGCAGCGCGCTAACCACTACACCCACCGCTCCACCACACGAACACACAAAGACAAAGATAAAGATCCCCCATATAGCCTTAACAGACTGTAGGGGCAAGTGCGGTTAGCGAGCACCTATGAAGGCCTACACACACACACACGAACACACACACACACACACGAACACACACACACACGGACAGACACACACACGAACACACGTACACACGGACAGACAGACAGACACACACACGAACACACACACACGTACACACGGACAGACAGACAGACACACACACGAAAACACACACACACGAACACACACACACACGGACACACACACGTACACACGGACAGACAGACACACACACACACGAACACACACACACACACGGACAGACAGACACACACACGAACACACGTACACACGGACAGACAGACAGACACACACGAACACACACACACACACGAACACACACACACGAACACACACACACGTACACACGGACAGACAGACGGACGCGCATCGGCAGCACGAAATCGATGCGTGCCACAACGTCGAGGAGTTGGATGCGTGTGCAGTGCGCCCAGGGAAATTCTCTCGCTCTCTCTCTTCTCTATCTCTCTCTCTCATTGTACAATGAAGTGGATGATGAAATTGATGAACCGGGTTCAGAACTTAAGCCTACAAATTGGGCGATGACAGTGATTGTTATAGAGGGTGGTCCAAAAGTCAGGGCACATAGGGGTTGTTGTTGTTGTTATTGTACAGGGTGGCCCACAAGTCAGGGCACATAGGGGTTGTTGTTGTTGTTGTACAGGGTGGCCCAAAAGTCAGGACACATAGGGGTTGTTGTTGTTGTTGTACAGGGTGGCCCAAAAGTCAGGACACATAGGGGTTGTTGTTGTTGTTGTACAGGGTGGCCCACAAGTCAGGACACATAGGGGTTGTTGTTGTACAGGGTGGCCCAAATGTCAGGACACATAGGGGTGGTTGTTATTGTACAGGGTTGCCCAGAAGTCAGGACACGTAGGGGTTGTTGTTGTTGTACAAGGTGGCCCAAAAGTCAGGACACATAGGGGTTGTTGTTATTGTAGAGGGTGGCCCAAAAGTCAGGACACATAGGGGTTGTTGTTGTTGTACAGGGTGGCCCAAATGTCAGGGCACATAGGGGTTGTTGTTGTACAGGGTGGCCCAAAAGTCAGGACACATAGGGGTTGTTGTTATTGTACAGGGTGGCCCAAAAGTCAGGACACATAGGGGTTGTTGTTGTTGTTATTGTACAGGGTGGCCCAAAAGTCAGGACACATAGGGGTCGTTGTTGTTGTACAAGGTGGCCCAAAAGTCAGGACACATAGGGGTTGTTGTTGTTGTACAGGGTGGCCCAAAAGTCAGGACACATAGGGGTCGTTGTTGTTGTACAAGGTGGCCCAAAAGTCAGGACACATAGGGGTGGTTGTTGTTGTTATTGTACAGGGTGGCCCACAAGTCAGGGCACATAGGGGTTGTTGTTGTTGTTGTACAGGGTGGCCCAAAAGTCAGGACACATAGGGGTTGTTGTTGTTGTTGTACAGGGTGGCCCAAAAGTCAGGACACATAGGGGTTGTTGTTGTTGTTGTACAGGGTGGCCCACAAGTCAGGACACATAGGGGTTGTTGTTGTACAGGGTGGCCCAAATGTCAGGACACATAGGGGTGGTTGTTATTGTACAGGGTTGCCCAGAAGTCAGGACACGTAGGGGTTGTTGTTGTTGTACAAGGTGGCCCAAAAGTCAGGACACATAGGGGTTGTTGTTATTGTAGAGGGTGGCCCAAAAGTCAGGACACATAGGGGTTGTTGTTGTTGTACAGGGTGGCCCAAATGTCAGGGCACATAGGGGTTGTTGTTGTACAGGGTGGCCCAAAAGTCAGGACACATAGGGGTTGTTGTTATTGTACAGGGTGGCCCAAAAGTCAGGACACATAGGGGTTGTTGTTGTTGTTATTGTACAGGGTGGCCCAAAAGTCAGGACACATAGGGGTCGTTGTTGTTGTACAAGGTGGCCCAAAAGTCAGGACACATAGGGGTTGTTGTTGTTGTACAGGGTGGCCCAAAAGTCAGGACACATAGGGGTCGTTGTTGTTGTACAAGGTGGCCCAAAAGTCAGGACACATAGGGGTGGTTGTTATTGTACAGGGTGGCCCAGAAGTCAGGACACATAGGGGTGGTTGTTGTTGTACAGGGTGGCCCAAATGTCAGGACACATAGGGGTTGTTGTTATTGTACAGGGTGGCCCAAAAGTCCGGACACATAGGGGTGGTTGTTGTTATTGTACAGGGTGACCAGCGGTTAGCGCTACTCTGCGCTACGAACCCGGTGACCCGAGTTCGATTACCGCTCACGGGCAACTCCATTGGCGATTACCCGAACGGGTCCTGGGCCTCCCCTAGGTCGACTCAGCCTCAGATGAGTTACCTGGTGTGGCGGTGTATAATAAACATTGCCACTGGGGGAGACAAAGGCGACCGGGCCTGGTGGTGGTGGTGGTGGTGGTGCTGGGCACCCACCCCCCACTCCTCCCTCCCCTACATCGTGTGGCACATTTGGGGCTGTTGGCTACTAAGTGCACTTGCCCCAAAAAGTCTGGTTCAGGCTACAGGGGGGATCGTTGTCTTTATTTTTTTCTAGCGAGGAGGGTGGTTAGGGCGAGAGTTGGGGGGGCGGGGGTGGTGGGAGAAGGCGGAGGAGGAGGAGGGCGATAGAATTTCAGTTTTACTGCTCAGAGTATAAAAGCAGAGCGGTCGGGAGTAGTAACACAGAGAGAGGGAGGGAGAGAGAGAGAGGAGGTCGAGATCGCATCGCACGCGGGGAAAGGAACAGCTTAATATTCGTAATAAACATCACTGTCGGGCTCGGCTTTTTGCTGGTGAGCCAACCCGAAACGTTTAACCAAAATTCCTGACACACCAAGTTACGTAAATGTTTTTTTTTTAATATATGTAAAAATTTGCTACATTTATATTTTTTTTAAACTTTTTCATGAAATTTGTTTTTTTCCATATATACCGTATATTTATTTATATTTATGTGTGAGTGTGTGATGCGTGTAATGTTGAATGTTCGTTCCCTTCAAAGGCCATGAAGGTCGCGTGCTGGATGTTGGCGCTGGCTCTGTGCGCTCTCGCGCTCCCCACGCTCTGCCTGGGTAAGAGAGAAGGGATCGTCCCGCATTGAACACAGACACACACATAGACACACATAGACACACACATAGACATAGACACACACACAGACACACACACACATAGACACACACACAGACATAGACACACACACACAGACACACACATAGACACACACATAGACACACACACACATAGACACACACACACATAGACACACACACAGACACACACACACACAGACACACACACAGACACACACACAGACACACACACAGACATACACACAGACACACACAGACATACACACACATAGACACACACATAGACACACACACGCAGACACACACACAGACACACACACAGACACACACAGACATACACACACATAGACACACACATAGACACACACAGACAGACACACACACAGACACACACACAGACACACACAGACACACACAGACATAGAGACACAGACACACACACACATAGACACACACACAGACACACACAGACACACACATAGACACACACACATAGACACACAGACACACAGACACACACATCGACACACAGACACACACATAGACACACAGACACACACATAGACACACAGACACACACATAGACACACAGACACACACATAGACACAGACACACAAACACAGACACACACACATAGACACACAGACACACACACATACACACACACATAGACACACAGACACACACATAGACACACAGACACACACATAGACACACAGATACACACATAGACACACAAACACACACATAGACACACAGACACACACATATACACACAGACACACACATATACACAGACACACACACATAGACACACAGACACACACATAGACACACAGATACACACATAGACACACAGACACACACACATAGACACACAGACACACACATAGACACACAGACACACACACACACGCATTCAAGCGCTTTTTTATAATTATAAATTAGAATTTTTTGTTCGTTAAAAATTGTATTATTAATTATCGCCCATTACCACGTTCACATCTTAATTATTCGAGAATGGTAATGGATAGCAGAGACCATTAACTGCATCCATTTGTGTTCTTTGTAACAACAACAACAAAGAATGGAATCTCTAAATTGAGTTGAATTAGAGTAGTCATCAATTTTTGTAAAAAAATTTGGGCCTGCGGAAAAATACCTAATGTTTGGAATAGTTGGTAGTAGTTACAGATTGTATAGTGTATAGCGTAGTTTATAGTTGTGTAGTGTATAGAGTAGTGTAAAGTAGTGTAGTTTATAGTAGTGTGTAGTGTATGGTAGTGTAGTGTATAGCGTAGTGTATATTAGTGTAGTGTAGAGTGACGTGTATAATAGTGTAGTGTATAGCGTAGTTTATAGTAGTGTATTGTACAGAGTAGTGTATAGTAGTGTATTTTATATTAGTGTACAGTGTAGTGTATAGTAGTGCAGTGTATAGCGAAGTGTATAGCGTAGCGTATAATAGTGTAGTGTATAGTCGTGTATAGTGTAGTGTCTAGTGTATATCAGTGTAGTGTAAAGTAATGTATAGTGTAGTGTATAATGTAGTTGATAATAGTGTAGTGCACAGTAGTGTATAGTGTAGTGTATACTAGTGAAGAGCACAGTAGTGTATAGTGTAGTGTATAATAGTGTAGTGTATAGTGTAGTGTATAGTGTAGTGTATAGTGTAGTGTATAGTGTAGTGTATAGTGTAGTGTATAATAGTGTAGTGTTTAGTGTGGTGTATAATAGTGTAGTGTATAGTGTAGTGATTAATAGTGTAGTGTATAATAGTGTAGTGTATAGTGTAGTGCACAGTGTAGTGTATAGTGTAGTGTATAATAGTGTAGTGTATAGTGTAGTGTATAGTGTAGTGTTTAGTGTAGTGCATAATGTAGTGTATAGTGTAGTGCATAGTGTAGTGTATAATAGTGTAGTGTATAGTGTGGTGTATAGTGTAGTGTATAGTGTAGTATACTAGTACAGCACTAGTGTATAGTAGTGTATAGTGTAGTGTATGGTGTAGTCTATAGGAGTGTATGGTGTAGTGTATGGTGTAGTGTATAGTGTAGTGTATAGTGTAGTATACTAGTACAGCACTAGTGTATAGTGTAGTGTATGGTGTAGTGTATAGTGTAGTGTATAGTGTAGTATACTATTACAGCACTAGTGTATAGTGTAGTGTCTAGTGTAGTGTATAGTGTAGTATACTATTACAGCACTAGTGTATAGTGTAGTGTCTAGTGTAGTGTAATATATAGTGTAGTGTATAGTGTAGTGTATAGTGTACTATATAGTGCAGTATACTAGTACAGCACTAGTGCATAGTGTAGTGTATAGTGTAGTGTATAGTGTAGTGTGTAGTGTAGTGTGTAGTGTAGTGTGTAGTGTATAGTGTAGTGTATAGTGTAGTATACTATACACTACAATAGGGAGCGCCTCGGTGGCTAGGAGATGTTAACTACCTTGCCTGGTGTACAGGAGGTCGTGGGTTCGATCCTGACCCTAACTATGCCTGCTGCTGTATATTTGGAGTCTGCGTCTCTCTCTCATCATCATCACGGTGGCTAGGAGATGTTGACTACCTCGCCTGGTGTACAGGAGGTCGTGGGTTCCACCACCACCACCATCATCATCGCGGTGGCTAGGAGATGTTGACTACCTCGCCTGGTGTACAGGAGGTCGTGGGTTCCACCACCACCACCATCATCACGGTGGCTATGAGATGTTGACTACCTCGCCTGGTCTACAGGAGGTCGTGGGTTCCACCAACACCACCACCACCATCATCGCGGTGGCTAGGAGATGTTGACTAACTCGCCTGGTGTACAGGAGGTCGTGGGTTCCACCACCATCATCATCATCACGGTGGCTATGAGATGTTGACTACCTCGCCTGTCTCTCTCCTGGCCCTCCGGGATTTTCCGTCCACATTAAGATTGAACACATCACCGCGCGCGTTTGGGAGAGTGATTTTTTTTGCTGCTGACATGAATTCCCACGTGATGATGATGATGATGATTGTGACGACGATGATGATGGTGACAAGCGGCTCACTTGGTTGAGCCACTGCACACCGTCTAAGCGGGTGCCCTGAGCCGGTAACGATCAATAATTACGGAGTATTTAAGTGTTTGCGTTGGTTCATCACTGGCACCGCGCATGGTTAAAAGGTCCCGGGGGGAAGAAAAAAATTGGTGTCTATTTAGTGTCTGAATAATCTTGACATCTACATTAGCGGACGTACTAATCGGGGAGTTTTTCCCCCGGACTCTTTTTTTTACTTTTCTTCTGCCAACAAGACTGAAACCTAATGTTTTTTTGTTGTAAAGAAGGAACTCACGTGTGCATTAGCCCCAATAATTGTGGTTAAAATGCAAACAAAACGCACACTCCGATAATAAGACGTATTTATTTTAGTCTCACGTAGAAAGACGCCACACGTGAACTTAAGGAGACACGGTCTGCTTGAAGCGAGAATTTAAATAAAAATGTATAATGTTTAAAGTTTATTTCTCTGTCCCCGCACCCACCACCACCGCTCTCTCTATATTTAAGGCCTCGACATAGAGGCATTGGGTCTCTGTGTGTCTATGTTGTGTGTCTCTCTCTGTGTGTCTCTGTGTTGTCTCTCTCTGTGTGTCTGTGTGTCTCTCTCTGTGTGTCTCTGTGTGTCTCTGTGTGTCTCTCTCTGTGTGTCTCTGTGTTGTGTGTCTCTGTGTGTCTATGTTGTGTGTCTCTCTGTGTGTCTCTGTGCTGTGTCTTTCTGTGTGTATCTGTCTGTGTGTCTATGTTGTGTGTCTCTCTCTGTGTGTCTCTGTGTTGTGTCTTTCTGTGTGTATCTGTGTTGTCTCTCTGTGTGTGTCTCTGTGTGTCTCTCTCTGTGTGTCTCTGTGTGTCTCTGTGTGTCTCTCTCTGTGTGTCTATGTTGTGTGTCTCTCTCTGTGTGTCTATGTGTGTCTCTCTCTGTGTTGTCTCTTTCTGTTTGTCTCTGTGTGTCTCTCTCTGTGTGTTTCTGTGTTGTGTCTTTCTGTTTGTCTATGTTGTGTGTCTATGTTGTGTGTCTCTCTCTCTCTCTCTCTGTGTCTCTGTGTATCTCTCTCTGTGTGTCTCTCTGTGTGTGTGTCTCTCTGTGTGTCTCTCTCTGTGTGTCTCTCTCTCTCTGTGTCTATGTTGTGTGTCTCTCTCTGTGTGTTTATGTTGTGTGTCTCTCTCTGTGTCTCTGTGTTGTCTCTTTCTGTTTGTCTCTGTTGTGTGTCTATGTTGTGTGTCTCTCTCTGTGTGTCTCTGTGTGTGTCTCTCTCTCTGTGTCTATGTTGTGTGTCTCTCTCTGTGTCTATGTTGTGTGTCTCTCTCTGTGTGTGTCTCTGTGTTGTCTCTGTGTGTATGTCTGTGTGTCTCTCTCTGTGTGTCTCTGTTGTCTCTCTCTGCTTGTGTGTCTGTCTGTGTGTCTATGTGTGTGTCTCTCTCTGTGTGTCTCTGTGTTATCTCTCTCTCTGCTTGTGTGTCTCTCTCTGTGTGTCTCTGTGTGTCTCTGTGTGTCTCTGTGTGTGTCTCTCTCTGTGTCTCTGTGTGAGTCTGTCTCTACTTGTGTCTCTGTCTGTGTGTCTATGTTGTGTCTCTCTCTGTGTGTCTCTGTTGTCTCTCTCTGCTTGTGTGTGTCTGTGTGTCTATGTTGTGTGTCTCTCTCTGTGTGTCTCTGTGTTGTCTCTCTCTGCTTGTGTGTGTCTGTCTATGTGTCTATGTTGTGTGTGTCTCTCTCTGCATGTGTGTGTCTGTCTGTGTGTCTATGTTGTGTGTCTCTCTCTGTATCTGTGTTGTATCTCTCTGCGTGTGTATCCGTCTGTGTGTCTATGTTGTGTGTCACTCTGTGTGTCTCTGTGTTGTCTCTCTCTGCTTGTGTGTGTCTGTGTGTGTGTCTATGTTGTGTGTCTCTCTCTGTGTCTATGTTGTGTGTCTCTCTGTGTGTCTATGTTGTGTGTCTCTCTCTGTG